CCCACCAGATGTAATACACTTATTCCATACGATTTTTCCAGTCCTCGAAACAATTTTCATAAGCACGTTTTGGGATGTTGGGAGCTGAGCCGCAGCGAATGTTGTTTTGTCTCTTTGATCGTCGTCCATGGAGTGGCAATTTCAGTTTTGGGAACACATCGAGCCTAATCTGGTGGTTGGTCGGCGGTGGTTTTTRGCTTTAAATTCGGTCACAATCGTAGTCGGTCTGAAAAAAATTCAGCTTTATCAGGATGAGTGGAGCAAACACGCGTTTCATACCCAAAATATCACCTAAAATCATACGGACAGACCAGCGAGAGATGTCGAGCGCTCTTGCCATCTCCTTAACACTTGCCTGATGATTTTCAACCTTTATATAATTTTTTAATATTTTCAACAATTAAAGAGATCGAAGCGACCTTCTAGAGCGAGGCAACGATCTCTCGCCTGTCTTTGAAGGCTTTGTACCACTGGATAAAATTAAATCACCGCAAGTCTTTTCTAACAAAAACTCTTTGTTCGATAGTTTTATCCACTGTAAAAATCGCACTATTGAGGTGTACCGACCTAAGCCGCTGCTGTAAACAAACTGCTCGACAGATCGCGCTTATATTTGGCATAATAACTAAGAACAACCCTATAAATTTAACAAAAGATGTACATTTTTTTGTAATATCATTTACCCGTGCAATTTAATTACAATTTCCGGGAGCTTTTTGCTCCAATCTATGTTGGTGTACCCTTATTAAAAATATATATGTATTTAATAATTTTGTTTTATGGCCTGTAAGATATTCATTTCTGACCTCATATAAAATATTTTAATATTGACTGAACTTTATTGAGCCTCCTTCAGTACTAAACTTACATTTCACTTACACATAGCTTAACTTACCTTCGCTGCTCTCGCTATCGGTAATTGCTGTAGACGTTGGGAGTGTGTTGAGTCAGCGAATCCTACGGGTTTTGCTAATGAGATTGGGTTACTGTGTCCAACATTGTCTGACAAACTGGAAACTGTAATTTGACTGCAGCGATTTGCGTTATCTTATTGAGTCTTTTTTTTTTAAATAACTTCATTTATAAGACTGTAGGCTCATCGTCATCATGCCACAAAAATGTTCTAACGACAAATAGTTTTTGTTATGTGAGTGGAGAATTAGTCAGGAACTCGAGCAACCATGGATCAACTTCGAATTACGTTTATTCTATTGGATAATACACATCTTCAGAGATACTGCACAGTGCACACTAAAGAAGCTATTGTTGTTATGGACATACGATAGTATCAAAGAATACCGAATGAGTCCATCCAAAATCTCGCGCAAAAATTGGAACTAKGATCATATATTTTTTGGAAGATTTTTGTTTTGCTGGCTTACAAAATCTAACTCCTGCATAATTTGAAACCTTTAAATGTTCGGTGAAAGGTCCTAAAACGAGATGACTACTGATCCTGATTTTCTCAAGAACATTTTGCTCAATGGTGAAACACACTATTGGAACGGGTACACTACTAAATAAAGACACCATTGTTGAGACGTCATTAGATCGTCAAATCGTACTTTATGGTGTGGACCCTTTATCAATTCATCCAGAAGTTGAATCTCAGTTCGGAGATACCATGATCTGAATTTTYGAATTATTGTTTATGAGACATAAGTTTGGTGCTATTTTTTCAATTTTTTAACCATTCTTAAAGAGAGAGATCGATTATAAAGCATCATATGGGTCAGTCATAATAAGAAGAAATTAAATCACAGGCAAATTTACAGTTAAGCGTTCGTGTATTTCTTTTCTAAAATAAATTTAATTACAGGCAATTTATAAAATAGTAGAGCTTATTATATTTAATTAATATTTTAAATCAAATTGAGTTAGTTTTATCAAAATAATTTGTTTATAAATGTAAATTCGATAGCTTTGATAACAAGATATTTTGTAGGAGTTCTTTTACAGGAGTACCAAGATTATATTAAAAGCTACAACTTAATAAAATAGTTATTAAAATCTTCAGTGTRTTCAGTGCAACATCAATAATTATCGTACAATTTTAACAATAAACTTTGTGGTTTTATGTAGAAATATGTAAACATTTATGTACATATACCTAAAAATAATTCAATTTAATAGCTTATTCTTATAGTTTGCTCCAAATGCATCTGTATAACTATACAAACATACACTCCCACATGATCAATAATAAAATACATATGTATCTATTTATAGTATGCATCGGTAAACATATTTAATTTTCCCTGTTTAAAATCGAATCTTTCTCCTTATCAATAACAACAATCACAATTTTCCTTTTAGGTGTATTTAGCTAGTTACATAGCTGTAAATATGTATGTACAAAGTGGCGGGCAGAAGCCTGTAAATACAGTGTGTTCAACAATTCATGATAACAAATATTTTTTATGAAATTTACACACTACTACTATACTATATTTTTCAACCCTTTTTAACAGTTTTAAATACACATTTTAGCTAAGATTTTATGATTGTTATAACTATTTGTATGGTATAAGTACTGTCTCTTATACACATCTAGATGTGTATAAGAGACAGCTACTACTATACTATATTTTTCAACCCTTTTTAACAGTTTTAAATACACATTTTAGCTAAGATTTTATGATTGTTATAACTATTTGTATGGTATAAGTATGTACTATATACGTCTTTGATACGGAAATCTGTTGGAACAGTTTCCAACGTTAAGTTTCTAACGTTAAGTGATTCGATACAACCTTACATAAAATTGAATTTCCAACAGATTGCAATTCAACCGTTTAGTTAACATACTTRTTTTACTATTAAATATATGGGAAAAGATTAAGTTAAAATTTTTTTTATATTTTATTTTATTTCTCTCAGTTAGTGGGTATTAACAAAAGTTTAATAAAATAGCAGGATGGCATTAATTATGATAACCACTTTAGACTAAATATTTTTCAATATAAAACGTTAAATGAAATCCTTTTAAGGTTCATTGTTTTGTACTAGAAAATACGGCTTACTCAGAGAGGATACTTCATATTTTGACACGGTGATAATACTCATAAAACAATACTAAGAGCGTTGTGGTTAAAAGCATGTTTATATATAATGAATCAATATAAAGTTGGATTGAGAAATATATCCGACGGAATTCGCTTAATATTTTTAAGGAGCTGTAGCGTCTGTTTATTGTTTTGAACTGAAAACTTTCTTCGTAAAAAACAAACTGTTTCGTGGACCCAGTTCGTATTGTATTGGATTTATTTTCTTTTCGCGTCGAGGAAMGAGTAGTAAGAGTCTGATGAATATMGAGATCTAAAAACGTTCAGTTACAGAAATAAACTCTCCAACTGATTATAGAAAGCATTGCAAAATAAACTGACATAAGTCAGAGAAGACGATTTGGTTTTCGTAAAAGTGGGAGCAAATCAGATACTTAAAATCTGTTAATACGAAGTTAAARTTATGACATAAGCATTACAGTAGCTTATATCCATAATTGGATAAAATGGACTTGGGCAATATGTGGTYCCAACAGCGAATGTCAAATCGATTTATTGAAAACCAAGTTTTGTCAACGCGTTAYCTAACGAAATRGCCCAGTCAATTGGCCRCATAGGTTGTGTTATTTCCTGTGGGACTAGGTCAAGTCTTCGTACGAATCGAATGTCGAACATGAAATTACTATCTATAATAKCGGCCGATTTATGCTTGAAAATCGTCGAAAATTGGGTTCCATTCGTGCCCGTGATGGACTTGCAAACGTAATCAAACGTTATTTCATTGATGTCCCACACCATTTTTGTTTTATTTAATTACGTAACATCAAATTTGTTTTATGTATTTTAAAGACAAAAGATACAAAATTGTCACATGAATTTGATAGAACGTTTGCGRTGGAACTTCTTTCACTTTGGCGCAATATTCTATGCAGTGATAAGATAAATATTGTTCATTTTAACTCTGGTAAAGAAAAATGATCTCGTAATCAGCAAGTCAACGCCAAATATACAAAGTTCTCAAGTTGCGATGATTTTATTAGGATGGAGACGGSAAATCAAAATATTGCTAAAATTATTATTTTTATTGAAAATGCACATGTACAAAAGTAATTACAAATCCTGGAGGAACAACTTAGTACAAAATATAAACTCGGTTGTGTACTTTTATCTACAATAAATAAATATTTGTATTTTTTTTTTTTTTTTTTTTTTTTGCAAACCAGTTTCGGTCTCATAACAACAATAAACGTCACAAAAATTTTAACCTGCATTTGATAAATAAGTTTTGCATGTTCTTAAAACTTTAACCATGCTAAAATATTTGCCAAATTTAAATACAAAATCGAAATTGAATATAAAATACTTTAGCAAAAATTGTATTCATGGATTTCTATGTTAACTTTGGTTGTTCTTATCATTTCAAACACGTCTGTACTTATACAGGTATATTTTGTTTACTCATTAAGCTTTCGTGAACTCCTTTACTTCAAATATAAAGTGCGGTGAATTTTTTTTTAACTTATATGAGTGCAAAGCTTAATAGTCAAATACTAAGCTTACATTTTTAAACTTTTTTAGTGAATTGTATTCTATTAATTTCTTAGCTACATATATACATAAGCACTTCCAGGTAAGTCATAACATAATCCTTGTGCTGATATTGTTTTGTTTCATACTATTTATCTTTTTTTTGCGAGAACAATAAACATTTTTACGAGTTTTTATGTAAATATATATATATTTTAAATAAATTTAACTTTTTTCTGTAGTTAGTACATTCAGCAGCTTAACTAACTATGAATTTAAGGTAAGAATTAAAATAATTCGCAATTGAACCATRATACATTAATATATTACAATTCCATTAGTTTCCTTAGTTGTCTTTGGGTCGCACGTGAGTTTCTGTTTAATCTTTCATTGTAACTGTTTTGAGGCTATAATGCCTCTGAAGGCTCAAAATGTACGCATTTAGGGTTTGGTTTCAAGAAATATCAGCTATTTGTAGCAAAACCCAGACCACTCTCTTGCTCCCTTTATTATTATACTATTTTAAATTTTAAACTAAATTTTCTAAAATTAGATATGTCCATTGTTATCGGCGACGATATCACCAGAGCTCCGCAGCACATCTTCTTCATTTCGTCTGCCAGGTTATACACTTTCCAATGTCAACTTTTATCACGCCTATTCACATACGAGACACGAGACGCGAGACAATCTAGCGTTGTTGTTTTTTAACCTGGTCACCCACTGGGCTGCGTCTGCCAAGCACGTGTTTCACTAAACCATCTCTTATACAGCTAATTTACAGCCAAGTTTTATCATCTGTCGTAGACGAGACGAAAATACCGCGTGGCGTGTTGGTCGACAGCAGTGTAGTTGTTGTGGCTTTTGTTGTGCTTATTCTTGGGGCACCTATTGTGTTGCCACTTTCTGTGGCATCTATCGCCTGATGCTTGTTGTTATTGTTGTTACTGCTGCTGTTGCTAATAGCATAAGTTTTTGTACTACCGTTGACATTTTTATATTCCAAACCGTCTGCTAAACCATTGCTGTACTTATCACGCTCCGCAACTATTTTGACACTACCACTGTTGTTGTTGTTGCGTGTGCCTTCAYACTGTCAAGATGCGGCACTCACGTTTGTCTCATCCACATGGCACACGCCACCACCAGCATCACCAACACGACAACCTTCTACACCTACAACTTCCCCAACACCAAGTGTGGATGGCGGAGGCAGCAGTGGCGGTGTTGTTGCAGTTGATTCGGTGTCGGTTGTTTCAACTGTCGCTGGCCACAATGGCAATGMCACTTGTTGTGTGCTGCCATTTCGCAGCGCCACTTTGATGGGTTCAGCTTTCATTATGATGCCATATTGTCCCGCACCCGGTGCGCCGCTTAACGACGACAGCGATGTAAGCTCGTGACTATTGCCGCAGTGACTAATGGTGAARCGTTGGTGATATGCGCCGGTGTTGYTGGTGCCAATTGGCGCGGAGTGTCGCAACGGATCTCGATGGGATACTATTGTGGAATTACGTAACATACCTGAAAATAGCAAGTAACAAATGGCATATAGTAATTGACGCAAGGAGAAGAAGGAAAAAATAAATAAGCACTATGTAAATATCTAAACTCTTATGTGCATAAAAAGGTCTTTGAACGTGGATAGACTGTGGAAGAGGCTTAAGCTAATTTGATTTTGAAATTGAGTAACATTTAGTGTTATTCAAAGAAAAGGTGCACACTTTAAACCAAAAGCACGTCATCAGGGTGCCACCGTATTCGTGAAACTCCTCAAGACGTCAATACAAATGAGGAATGGGGCGTAAAAATATGTATATAGATCCATGCGCTAATGCAGAGTTAATCACAATATAGAAGCGACTTTTACAATTTTTTGGTAAACTTTAATATTAAAGAGCTCTGGGAGTAGCTGCATTTAACGTGGAAGAACGAAACTATATTTTCGCATTTGACCAAATTCCTAAGTAACCATAAGAACTTCATGCCKTTTTTGAYTCGCCATTCCTCKGTTCGCTCTGTTTAAGCTTTGTTCTCTTACAAAAAGAACTCGAGCTTAAAACTTTCCGACCACAAGCATAACTGTTTAATTCTATTTATTCAATACCATAGTTTTGAATTCATTGACTATTTTTAAACAGCGTCAAGGTAAGACATGAACTAAATTTGAGTAAAATCGGTTAAGTACTTTGTAAGATCCGATTCCGAGCTTCGAAGTGGTCGCACGTCAGTGAGCTTCAATGAGCTCCAGCTAGGTCCCCCAAAACGGCTACCACGATTGAAAGTGCACTACTTGGCTCAGATAGTAGACATCTCCAAAAACGGGGTGGATTATGATCTGCGTGAATAACCAGCACTCCCAAGTCATAGATATTTAGGTCTATCTTGGAACCAGTGTTATCATAAAAAGCACGTCAGCCTCGAAATCCAACGCAGAATAAATCTAGGCAAGGTGCTACTTCGGACTGACTAGGCAATTGAGAAGTAAAGTCATCCTTCCTTCCTTTCGACTCTCCCAGAAATCGTATTTGTCAGCAGGGTTTGGGAAAATAGAACGCGACTGGGTCAATTGCATTGATTTGAAATGAAACTGTTTTGAGCTATCGGAGCACGTATGTATCTTTAGTCTCTCTTAGTYTTAATGTTACAGTAAGAAATCTATTATACTTTCTGTACTGGGTTTTCAAATCTGATTCCAACAATACGGGGCTACATGCCACACCACACCACATGCAACAATCGAATCGAGAAAAGTTTKGAGATTGGATTATTTTTAGAWATTATAACATTGAAKGGCCTCGAAGAAGTTGTGATTTAACACCATTAGACTACATCTTGTGGGGTTAWTAGAARTCATTRGTTTTTAACAGYAAASCAGACTMTCTTCACGATTTTGGAGTCMATTTGGAGTMAAAAAGTACACGAAAATTKGGTTCTTCAAATTAATTCCTGTATCTCTCCCGTATCACTCCTAAATGAACACGCTGTGCACGTATGTTGCGGGAAGATTAAACAACAGTTCAAAATTTTTCCTGCAGGGTTAGWTAATGGTATAGCACTGCTGCCAACTGTGTAGTCATTTGTTATTCAACAGGCTAGCCAGCGGCTTTCATCGCAAAACAAAAAAGATTAACAACCGCCCTGTGCTGGCAGTCACTCGAAGCTGCATGCACATGACAAGAATGGGCAGTGGCTCARCATTAGACAGCCTCAGTTGGTGTTATAAATCCAATGGTGACATGTTGTTGGCTGTCAGCAGCAGCTCGTGGATTGCGGAGGAATTACGGTATTACTAGGAGTTCAAGCGATAAAACTTTGTTTGTATTTTATTGGATCCTGAAGCTGATTGGTGAATTTTTGGCAGAAGATAAGAGCGAAAAAGTTACTTTATGTGGGCAACTAAAAGTTGAGGGACAATTAACATAAATGACAGATGATGCTACGATTTTAAATTAATGCGAAATAASTTTAATTTGAGGCACTTGTGTCATCACTACAATTTATTGCTTTTGTTTTTCATAAGTGCTTCATTAAATTAACATAAAATGTCCATTTCCTTGTAGCAACTAATTTTGGTAACAGTTCTCTGTCAAATAATAAATGACGAGAGCTAATTACTACAACAGCAATATACATTTTGAGGTAATGCTCTATAGAGTAATTGGCGCCGATATAAAAGTTTACTGATGTTAATGACAGCCAACAATTTAATTACTGAACTTTTTTTGATTTACTCTCGTTCAAATAATAATTAGGGGCAATAGCAAGCAATTTTGAATACCACAACGCAACGGTTCTAGCCTTTTAATCGGTTAAAGACTGTTATATGATTTATGGTTCTTTTCGCATTGATAGCGGCGAATACCACAGTCGATATAAGGATGAGCGCTATGAAATATWCGTTGTTCAGCAAATCAAGAGACATTGGCTATGCTGGCTAGGTCATGATGTCCGGATGGATGAGAACACTTCAGYTTTGAAAGTATTCGATTCAGTACCCGCCGGTTAAGCGAGGGAAAGACTTTCATTTCATTGAAGAGATTTGGTGGTGAAGGACTTGGATACACTTGGTACCTTCAATTGGCGCCATTTATCGAAAAAAAGAAGCAAAGGGTGTGGGTAAACGGTGTCTACGTTAGTAAAGTATGTAAAATAAAAACTGTTACCATGCGTAAACGGTTTCTGCCCATTACTAACCTAAAGTTTATAAAGTACCATAATTCATTTACTTACCATAATGTGAAGCTACGCGACGGCTTTTTGGCGAACTCGGACAGGTGTACAAAAATGAGCGCTGAGTATCTGCAAGAGACACACAAAAAGATGAATTGACTGGGAAATGTCCAACTGGGAGGTGAGTTTAGATGAAGTCACATGGTGGACAGACGGAAAAACATTAGACAAATTTGACATGACAAGTGAAGTATGTGAGATTGTTTTGTGAAAGAAAAAGAAGTGATTGCAAAATTTTGATTAACTTCTAAGCTTACCAGCTTGCAAATATAATTAAGTACTGTTACAATTACTCTTAAATATATARTATATCACTTACCATTTCTTTTGATGCGATTATGATCAGGTGAACCCGAGCAGGAATACCGGGAAGTCATATTGTCGCGCCGATTCAGAGATTCGTCGACCTTAACGAATGGGCACCAACGAAAGAATCGCTTGAAGCCGTAACGGAATCTATTGAAGAAAAATCATAATTKTTTGACTTGTGAAGTTAAGCACATGCTYTCTGTAGTGTGTCAAGTGTTTGGTGTATAAATCCCTGACTGCGCAGTCACTTATACATATTACTTTGGGCAAGAAATAGGAAGACCTTTTAATTTAAATATAGAGCGAAAACGGATTCGTCGAAATATTTTTTTAAGTTGGTATCAGTGACATCACATCAAAATAATCATTAGTGTTTAGTATACTTTCGGAAGTACATAAGGTGCATTCGGTGACTTTTACGATAATAGAAATTATTCAACAAAGAAGTTGAATTCAATTTTGTGATCGGAATCAAATTTATTCGATGATAATTAAAAGTAAGTAAAGTTTTGATCGGTACCAATTATCCAAAGAGTGCTGAGAATGCGTTACCGATGAACCACGTTCAGG